GGGTCCCAACTTCTCCACATCTTTGCCAACATTTCTGACTTTTTTTTTTCTTGCGTAGTGACTGCCCTAATGCTAATCATAATGTAATAGTGGTAGTTTGGGGCTCATCATCTTCTGTGAGTTAGTGTACTAGAATAGTGTCCTACGGCCCAGCCCCTGATGCCACCAGTGGAGCTGAGACCCAGAAAGAAGAGACCCACGCGCAGAGGCTGAGGTCCTGCTGGCTTGCCTGGGACGTGGAGGGTGAGGTCCGAGGCTAAGAGCAGGCCGGGCTCAGGCCAAGTGGTGAGAACCGTGCATCCGCTCAGCCCTCACCCCCTCCCCGCTGCAGACATGTGCCCCCCCAGGTGCAGGGGATCCCACTGGAGGGCATGTTGGCAGCCGGGGCTGCAGCCGTGCAGGCTCCAGGTGGGCACCTCCGTAGCTTTCGGGGAGTAGTTATCCTCAGTCCGTGCACTTGCTCCCTCCCTTGCCCACACTTGGCTCCGCTTGGTCACAGCCCTCCCAGAGCCAGGCCACCGAAAGCCACCTGGTCATCACCTCCCAGAGCACGTCCTCTGTTTCCAGCCTTGCACTGGAGTCAGAGGCTAAGGACCCCAAACATTGTGGGGCCTTCCTGCCGCACACCCTCCCCACAGGCTGCCTCCCCTCTCATCCAGCCGTTCACCCCCAGAACTGTGCTCAGCGGTCTGGCCACCTCCAGCAGGGCTCCCCCCACCCCCGACCCTGGGTCCCACAGATCATCCGGGATCCCCAGCTGGCTCTGGATCATGTAGCTCCTCGGCCCCGCTTCCCAATCAGACCCTATCTCCTACAGGAGCCGGGCCTCTCCTTCGGACAAAACAGACACGAAAACCACCTTCTGGTTCCTTCCCACTTTCTCTGCGACCTTGATGCAGATAATCCACAAATATTTGTGGGACGCTGTTATTCGGAACCACCGGAGCACGGTGCACCGAGGATCCAGCGAGACCCGGGAGGTGCAGAGCATCCGCGGCGCTCGGTGCACCGAGCAGATTCGGCCCACGAGGCCGTCCTTTGCTTCATCTTTTCCCCAGCGCTTCCTGCCTCCCTTCCTGTCTTTCCCTCACGTCTCCAAATTCCAGCCTGTTGAAGGCACGCTGCACCGATGCCTTCAGGATCATTCCTGTCTCGAGAGCTGCTAAGTCGGCTCTGTCCCTGCAGGCTCGGCCCTGTGTGCCTTGCACCTTGGCTGGCACCACCATCGGGCGTGGGGGGGGGGGTCTGTAAATGCCTATAGATGTGCCGGGTGGTGTCTAAATATTGAGGGTTTACACAGTCCTGATAAAGCATCTGCTGTCAGGGCGCCGGGGGGCTCAGTCGGCGAAGCCTTCAGCTCAGGTCATGGTCTCAGGGTCCCGGGATCGAGTCCCGTGTCGGGCTCCCCGCTCAGCGGGGACTCTGCTTCTTCCTCTGCCTCATGCTCTCTCTCTCTCTCTCTCTCTCTCTCTCTCTCTCTCTGTCTCTCAAATACATAAATCTTAAAAAAATCCAAGCATCTGCTGTCTTCCAGAGATGTTACATGCAATCCAAGAAACGAGGCACCAGGATTGGCGCTGTGGGGAGGGCAGGTCGACAGCGGGGGTGCGGGTGGTGTGTCCAGTGTCTCGGCCGGCGGGGAGCAGCTTTCTTCCTCTGGGGCCTGTGCGCTCCGGTTCACGCACACGCCTCTGACCTGGGGCCTCGACTCCATCTACACCTCGGGCACCGGCTGGGTGTGGGCAAAGTGGCTCGTGTGTGCGCCTCAAAATATGCAGATATTGTTCCGTGAAAAATGAAAATGCGAAGTCACAGATTCATCGACGTCTACATTTACAATCTGTCCGTTGCTTCCGGCAAATGATACAGAACTTGCGACTAAGACCACGTGCCGTCGTGATGGTAAGGGGGCTCCGTCCTGGGGAAGTGGCGCCATCCATTATCCTCCCCAGCCCTCGGGTGACACGGAGCCCCCTGGTCCGTGGTGGGACTTGGGCGCGTGGTAGGCTTCCCGCAGGCTTCCTCAGGGCAGCGGGGGGACCACCGGCCCCAGCCGTGTGTCCTTAGGTCGGGGCACCCAGAGGCTTCTGGGAAGATGTGGTTTGGAGCTGAGCAGAGCCATCAAGGCAGGTGTGCCAGGGGCAGAGGCAAGGGGGCGTGCTGTGGCTTTTCCAGGAGCTGGGATAAGACCCACTGCCAGGCGAGTGGGGAAGAGCAAGGGGGGCCAGGATTGAGGGCCAGGGAGGAACCCCGGCTTTCGCTTTCGGGCTCCGCCGGGGAGCCTGGATGCAGCTGCAGCCCCAGGGGGGTGGGTGTGCGACGGCATCGGGTCTCGGAGTCCAAGTGGAAGCACACACCCGGCGTGCGCTCCGAAGCAGTTCAGGGCCTCTCCGGATCCGTTTGCTCTTCCCCAGTGCTTTCAACGTGGGCTGACCTCAGTGCGCACGCGACACGCTCAAACACGCGCGTGCACACGTCCCACCGTGCTGGACGGGAAGCGTCCCCGGGTCCCTGCGGCCTGCGGGGCTGCAGCTCTTGCACGGGGCTGGGGTCAGGGTGCAGCGCGCGGGGTCAGCTCTGAGAAGACGCACAGCCCCTGGGGCGGGCGCTCGGCCTCTGGGTGTGGGATCCGGGAGTCCCAGGAGGCCAGAGGGCCCACGGGCAGGGGCCGGCGGCTAGGAGGACGCTGCGTGCGTGCAGGCGACAGCGGCTGGAGACGTCCGTGGGGGAGAAGCCGGGGGACCTGGGGGTCTCTTCTATCTCTCTCTGCCACTGTTCCCATCACGGCGCCAGCCGAGAGAATAAAAAACGCATCAGGAGCTGCTTCCTTTTTGACTCAGAAGGAGTTCGGGAAGGCTTTATTAGTGCCGGAGAGCAACAGAGCGCTCCCTGGGCAGATGGACTCGTTTCCCCAGGATGGAACTTTTTTTGTTTTGTTTTCCGCCATGAAAGCACTTTTGGGAGGAAACATGAGTAGCAGGTGGTTTTGCTCAGAGCCCGAGCACCCAGCCCTAGGCCCGAGGTGCACTAATGAAGGGCTCTGTGACCTGCCTTTGCGCCTCTCGACTTTCCCGTCCATAAAATGGGGGGACATCCGCTCTAACGGGCTGCAGAAGGCAGCGCCCGAGACCGTCCGGGTTGATGCTAGCTCCCCCGCCACCCAGTCTGCTCAAGACAGGCCCACGCGCCTCGCCCGTGAAGGGGGGAGAAGGCTGGTACCTCCCCGGAGCGTCATCGGGAGGGCGGATGAACCGATGAGACCCGGCCCTTCCACACGCTCAGTATGTGACGGCCACTTCACCTTTGTCATTTCTGTAAGTTGAAAGGAAGAAAGTATGTCAAGTGATAAAAAATTATGACCCAGATGTAAGGTTTTTACCAAGAAGGAAAGGGAATTAGTTTATGTCTCCAAGTCACCGTAGAGGAGGAGACCGGAAGGTCGCCCTGAATCCTGGCCTTAACCAGTGACATGAATGGCAGTGGCCTGTGCTCGGCTCTGAATCCCCTTTGCTATTCACCTCCCCCCGCCCCCCCCGCCAATTTTAAGCAACCTCTTTCGATTTACAAGTAATGCATATATAAGTGATTTTATAGAAAAAGTAGGAAATGCAGAGAAGTGAGAATATCAAAATGTCATACGCATAACCCAGAGATATTTTAGTGCGTCTTTCTAGACTGTTGATGATCTATCGCTATAATGCATAAATCTCTTAAAAATGAAATTTTGTAAAAAAACATTTGTTTTCAAAACAAACAACAACAACAAAAAAAACTGTAGCCACTATTTGGGCGGATTACAAGCCGTTAGAGTGCATTTTCCGAGCACCAGTATAGCATTGTCTTTAAAGCACCGTATTTAATTGAAATTGTCTCTTGTTGACCCGTGGCCCGATTGCTTTGCCGTTGGAAATGATGTGGGACGGAGCGCCTCTGAGCCTCCCACGGGCCCTCTTGGGGGATTATTTCTTAGGACCAATTTCTAGGCGTGGAATTTCCACGCCTGATACGTTGGGCCCGAGCACCCCCAAGAAGATTGCGCTGCGGGAGCATTTAAGCTCCCTAGTGCTTTGTGGATGAGCAGGGCGCGGCAGGGGGAGGCAGGGCGAGGCGGGCCGGAGCGGCCCCCGGGACCAGGCACGTCCGCTTCCCATCCTCGTCCGCTTCCCATCCTCGTCCGACACCGAAGACCATGGGCCTTCAGGGAAGCCACCAATCTCTGGGACACGCAATTTTCTCAGCCGCCGGATATTTTGAGGGTTGAGTGAGGTGACCTTCCCAAGGTTATTACTAGCATCAGCCCCGGTGCTGGGCGAATGCTGGCTCCTAGAAAATACCTGGGGAAACGTAAAGTGAGGCCCTCAGGTGCGCATAATGTCACTGTGTGCATCTCTACACACACACGTAGACGTAGACGGCCCCGTATATGGAACCAGCTACACGTATCAAGGAGGCCGTCCGCCTTCCTGAATAATCTAGAGGAGACGAGAATCTCAAAATGTTCATGTTGATCGGAGCGGGTGACTCGGTGTCACGTGTGCACACGTTGGCAGAGTGGACGGAGAGGCCCAAGCGTAGCGAGGAATAAGGTGACGACGCGCTCACCCGTGTCCCTCGCGCCCTGGTCTGTGGGCGGGTGTTGGTTGGGTGGACTCTTGGGCTAATTGAGGACGTCCTCAGGCCGTCCTAACGTGTCCCGGCATCACGGGGCCGGCGTTCCGGGCCCTCGGCTGGGCACGTCTCGGATCCGGAGCGGGGCCGGGGGTGGAAGCCAGAGTGAGGCCGCCCACGGGTGGAGGCCCCTTTGCTAGTATCGAAGGATCCCGATATAACGATTTTAAAAAGGTCACGTCCCTCGGGAGGCTTTTCCGAGGAGGGAGAAATACTCGTAAGGATGCTCTGGCGTGAGGGAAGGTCCCTCGAAGCCGCCGATGCTCACGGCGATTGTGTTCAGGGCACTCTCGCACGCCGTTGCCTCATGCGCTCCTTCTGTGCTGTTTAAGGAGGAAGATGAAGGCTCGGGCTCCGCCGCCTCCCGGAAGGCCCGCCACGCCCAACGCGCACAGCGGACCGAAGCCGCGCCGGGACGCGTCCCCCGGGCCCCCGCCGCACCTGCTGCATATGAAGGAGAACCTGCGGAACAGCGCGGTGGCCGTCACCGTGGTTCTGCCCAGTGGCCTGGAGAAGAAGAGCGTGGTCAATGGCAGGTAAGGGTCGGTGCGCCTCGGGGCCGGGTCCCCGCCATCCAGGGCCGGGGCCGAGGAGACCTGGGACGCAGACCCTGCTGGGTTTCACTCGCTCCCATGTCCGGTGGGACGTGGGGCCTGGGGTACAGATCTGGGCCTAGGTGACAAGCCGAAGCGGCTCACCTGAAATGCCCTAGCATATATGCTACGTGGCCCCTCTGCATCCCTGGGCAGCACGGGCTGCACGGCTCCGTCCTGGCACAGGGGGCGCTCAGAGGAGGGCATCACAGGCCCGTGGGCATCTCCACGCAGGTGGCCAGCCCCCAGAGCCTGTGCCAGCACCCTGGGTACCAAAGTTAGACAGTGGGGCAGCCCCCGAGTTGACCCCTCCAGTGCCCACTGACAGGCTGGTCCTTAGAGGTGGAAATACAACCAGCGGTCGGTTCTCCAAATGCACGTTTACACTGATGACCAGTCCCCGACCCAACCAGCTTCCAGCCCCGAAATGCCCACCCGAGTCCTTTCTTAGATCTGACCTGCCTGGGAATGTGCCTGCGGTCAAGGTCACGGGCCCCTTCTTCTCGCACGCCAGCCACCGCAGGCACACCTGAAACCTCGGCAAAGCCTCCTGCAATCATAGTTTTAAGAATTTTATTACCAAAAGAATTCCTGATTTTTTTTTCTCCAAATGCATCATGTTGTTTGATCGATTTGGGGCCACGCCCCTTGTTCCTGATAGCTCACTGTATAAGAGCATGTTTTCACAAAGTCACAGGGAGCAAAGGATTAAATCTCAGTGTTTGTACAGTTTTTACGATAAGAGTATGACGGAGCCATCAACCGTGGCGTAAAGACATATTTGTCTAATTCTGAGGCAGGAGGGAATAGGCGTCGCATTTCTCAGAAAATGAGAACAGAGAATGATCGGACATATCTCAATCTTAAATAGCAGTTTGCTCAAATATTTTTTTTTTTTAAAAACGGATAATGGTGGAGATCACATCACTGTGGGTGTTTTTATTCTGGTGGATGTGCCGAACAGAGCGATGGAAAACTTTATAAAATATCAGTATTTGGGGCAGCTCGAGTAGCCAAGTGGTTTAGTGTCGCCTTCAGCCCAGGGCATGATCCTGGAGACCCGGGTTCGAGTCCTGCATCGGGTTCCCTGCATGGAGCCTGCTTCTCCCTCTGCCTGTGTCTGTGCCTCTTTCTCTCTCTCTCTCTCTGTGCTTCTCATGAAAAAAATAAAATCTTTAAAAAATAAATAAATAAGAAAGAGAGAAAAAGAAAGAAAGAAAGAAAGAAAGAAAGAAAGAAAGAAAGAAAGAAAGTGTGAGATTTCATCAAGAACCCAAATACTGATATTTTATTTATAAAATAAAATAAGAAAGAAAATAAATAAAATATCAGTATTTGGGTTCTTGATGAAATCTCACACTCTTCAGCTGTTTATGCTTTAGAATGAAAATTCTAGGTGGCATCTTAATGTGCAAATCGGTGCATACCTATTAAAAATTATTCCACGGGATATTTGTTTTTTTTTTTTTAATTCTTTTTTTTTTTAATTTTTTTTATTTATTTATGATAGTCACAGAGAGAGAGAGGCAGAGACATAGGCAGAGGGAGAAGCAGGCTCCATGCACCGGGAGCCCGATGTGGGATTCGATCCTGGGTCTCCAGGATCGCGCCCTGGGCCAAAGGCAGGCGCCAAACCGCTGCGCCACCCAGGGATCCCTCCACGGGATATTTGAACAATGACCGGAGGAAGCTTGCTGCAGGCCTCCCCACTGAGCAGGGAACCCGATGCGGGGCTCAGTCCCAGGACCCCGAGATCATGACCTGAGCTGAAGGCAGATGCCTAACCGACTGGGCCACCTGGGTGCCCCCAACCCAATTTTAAGTTACACTAAAAAAAAATACTACTTTATCTTATTAACATATAGAAATTCCACGTTTACTGCGTCCTCCTCGATGAGTCTGTCACTAGGCAAACACCCATGAGACCCCTCCCACTCTCAGCCGAGTTACATATTTCTTAGGAAATTAGCCTTGTGGGTCCTTGTCTCCGATACTCTCATCCGTGAGTCCCGTTCTGCACACGCACCCAGAGAGATGGAACCCCTGCCTGACAAGCACGAATATTATTTTGAAGACCATTTCCAAACTGAACACATTCTTCAATTTTATCTTCAAAAAAAATTTTTTTTTCCCCTTGCAGAGTAGAAACTACCACTTTGTAGCACGGCGGCGGCGCCGTGAGAACACGTGCAGCCTTAAAGGTTGAGCGTTAAAGTACTTCCCTCTTTTCCAGCAGTAGGTTACAATCCCTTCTCTCAGGCTTCCTGCAGGATTAAGGGAGTCGGAGCAGCAGCCCGTGGGCTTCCTTAACTGGGTCCTTGGCATCACGACTGGCGCTGATTCAGCAGCTGCTCGCTTGGGGACGTGGTTTTAGGTGTCGTCCTCTTTAATAATACCACAGCGGGTCGAGGTCCAGTTCCTGGCCCCTGCTTAAAATAGATCTACTAACTGTTAATCAATGTGCTTTCCCTCTTCTGCTTTGTTAGAGAGCATGCCTACCTTCCTGTGGGACCAACAAGCACTTCCTAACGTATAATCGGCCCCTTCACCGGGCTTTTTCCTGACGTGAAAGATTCTCCTAGAGAAATCATTAGTGATTGCAGTCTGGGGGTTGCATTCTGCATGTGACTGATTTCTTTTTCTCCTTTTTTTAAAGCTTCCTTTGGATTTAGAAATTTACATAAAAGTCCCAGTCTGTTCTTGTAGAGATTATGACATGAGAATCTGTGTTCTGGGCCATTCTTTTTCTTTTCTTTTTTTTTTTTTTTTTTAAGATTCATTTATCTTAGTGACACAGTGAGCGAGAGTGAGCGGGGGGGGGGGGGACAGAGGGAGAGAATCTCAACCAGACTCTGCGCTGAGCCCGACTCAGAGCTCGATCTCACAACCCTGGGATCATGACCTGAACCGAAATCAAGAGTCAGGCGCTCAACCAACTGAGCCACCCAGGTGCCCCCATGTTCCAGGCCATTCTAAGGGAAACGCTCCGGGATATATTTAGGGATGGCGTTCCCTGCACTGCATATGGATGGCGGAAGGAGGCCACCAGCTCCATCACTTTTATTGGGGCACAGTTAAAAAAAGAAGATCATTTGGAAGCCCAGGTGGCTCAGTGGTTGAGCATCCGCCTTTGGCTCGGGGCACGATCCTGGAGTACCAGGATCAAGTCCCACATTGGGCTTCCTGCAGGGAGTCTCCTTCTCCCTCTGCCTATGTCTCTGCCTCTCTCTCTGTGCCTCTCATCAAAGAATAAATAAAATCTTAAAAAAGAGAGAGAGAGAAAGAGAGAAGATCCTTGAGGGACGCTTGGGTGGCTCAGCAGTTAAACATCTGCATTTGGCTCAGGGTGTGATCCTGGAGTCCTGGGATCGAGTCCCGCGTCGGGCTCCCTGCATGGAGCCTGCTTCTCCCTCTGCTTATGTTTCTGCTTCTCTCTCTGTGTGTCTCATGAAAAAATAAATAAACTCTTTTTTATTTTTTTTTTTTAAAAAGAAGATTCTTGAGAAGACAATGCCCGTAGGCAAAAGAGTACACTGACGTAGGTACGCTTCATAACCTGCGTCAGCCTCTAGAGAGTTGGGGCTGCTTTGATGTAAACAGCAGCCAGGTCCACGTTGGGACATGTGCCCAAGGGGCCGGGGCAGGAAAAGGCAAACATCTCCTTTGCAGAATCCAGGAAATCTCCCTCGGTGTTCATCCCTGTGATTCTTCCTCTAGAAGCCATCAGACCCTCTTCACCGTGCACGTGCTTAGAGCTGTGCAAGAGTTTTTAGGTCTTGGAGCTTATCAAACAGCCCAGGCTCGCAGCATGGGTATTGGGTCTGCACGTTCCTTCTGGATGGAGCACACCTGCTCCAGGACAGAGAGGAGGGAGGCTGGGAGCACCCGTCAGCTCTGGGTGTCCTGCATCCACCTTGCCCCTCAAGGCATTGGTAGGGCCTCTTGTTCCTGACGCCCAGAGCTAAAGGGGGAGCTTGCTCTTCTCTGGTGCCCAGTGAGTTAAGGAGGTGCTGGGGAGACGGCCGGGTGAAGACAGTTCTTGAAATAACTGGCTAACAGGTTGCTTTGGTTTAGTTTGATTTACATTTTTTTTTTGAAGAATATCTTTTTTTAGAAGACTTCAGGTTTTTTTTAGAGCAGTCTTAGTTTTCTAGCAAAAATAAGAGGAAAGTACAGAAATTTCCCACATACCTCCTGCCCCCGGATCAACATCCCCCAGGAGAGTGGGGTGCTCTTTGTGATCAGTAAACCTACACGGACATGTCCTCATCCAGACTCCATCGTCAGCATGAGACTCCACGCCCAGTGTACTATGAGCTGTGGGTTTGCACGCGTATCCACTGCACTAGTACCTTATGGAGTGCTTTCACCGCCCTCAAATCCTCCCAGAAAAATTCCTGGGACACAAAGCCTGCAGGGGTCACAGTGGCCAGACGTGAATGGTTAAACCATCTTTCCCATCAGCCGGGAGACCATGTTTGATCTTCCAGGCCCTGGCGCACTGTTCCTAGGGACCACCTCTCTGAAATGCTTCTGCCCTATGAAGGCTGCATTTTCCTGCTTGTTTGGGTGAGACCCAAGAGCAGCTGAACGATGACAGTGTCAGAATCGGTGATCATCAGACACCAGGTTCTACCTGATTTTCTTCCCGAGCATCTTTGCTGGGGGGAGGAGGTAAGGTGGGCTGACCAGAGGTCATGAACTGCGCACTACTCCCGTGACAAGGTGTATTCGTTGCTAAACCCGCTGTTTAATGGTGCACAGCGAGTGCCGTTACTGGTTGGGTTTTGGAGTGATCCCAGTCATAGAGCGGGGAACTCTCACTTTGTGGGATCCTGATATACTAAAAGATAGAGAGAGAAAGAAAATAATCATTTATTCATTGAGCGAAATGCATACGGAATACCTGAGATTTCTGAAGAAACGGGGAGGAAGACATCCCA